GATACAAATTTGGGGAGGGGGTCGCGACGACCAAACCGATCCACAATCGATCTGATTGGTTGAATTTCATTGAGAAGGTTTTGATTGGCTAATAAATTTGAGCTCATCGGAGGTAGCCATTCAAATCGATTTAAATTCCACCGAGAAACCACAACACAATGAAATTTTACTCGAAAGCACAATACCTGTTGGAGCTTATCGACTTGGTTGAACTGGGGAGGCACGGCCTGTAAAGCATCACTTAGTCGTTGGTGCAACGAGGCATCTGGCACCGCTCTAGACACAAATACTAGTATTAACAGAGTAGTAGCAATACTACAAGTCCATATATTCACGTACGAATCAAATATAACGGATGTGGTCACGGGCAAGATAGCGAGACCCCACAGTTTGGCCAGAATATCATGGTATCGACGGGGTAACTCCAACGCTCGAGGGTGGCGGAGTTGGCTGGAGGTTGTCGCGTACACGGACTCGAACGGCTCAAATACCCCGCCTTGGGTGGGCAAGTGAGATATCCTGACAATGTTTGGCGTCGTCCACGTATCCAGCAAAAAACAGAGGAAAGCTTGGATAATAGGGCCCGACACTAACGATCCGTGGGGGGACTCCTCCATCATGGCCTCGTGCAGCAGATCGTTCCATTTGTCTGGATTGCCTTGCACATCTTGGACTAGCGACGTGCCAAACTGCCAAAAGCCAGCAAACGGCGCGTTCTCTGGGTGCGATATAACGACCAACTTGTCCGTGTGTGACATGTGACTCCACCAAGATGGTTCCTCTTCAGCCAAGAGGGGCTGGCTCCCGAATGATACTTTGGCGCCATTGGTAGTCGTGAGGAACGCTATGGGTTCCAGTTGGGCGGGAAAGCTGTCCAGCGGCTGCTCGGCCACGAATTGCAAGTACGGCCGTGGGTCGGCGATATTGGAAGATTCGAGGGCAGCTAGGGCCACGGCCACTGTGGGCTTGACTGGCACCCCCAACTGAACGAAAAATGACTTGAGTGTTTTGGGGAAAGCTGGTCGAAGTGCCACGAGGTCGGGGCAGCTGGTGGACGGTTTCCAAATCGTATGGTGAAGGCGCACCCGTTGGTTGTTGACAGGAAGTATGGGAGCGGCGGACAACGCCGCCTGGATCGACTGGAGCACGTCGGGATGGCCCGAAGCGTGCGCCTTCAACTCGAGTAGGCACGCCACGACCGTGTCAGCCGACACGGCGTCCAATTGCAGCAGATGTAGGTACTCTGGCACGCCCAAGCCAATGTGGATCTGCAGAACCGAGGCAAACTCGCGGTTCAGCACGGCTGCGGATGGAAAATAGGGTTTCAGACCCGCGGGAACGTCCAAGTACGATTCGGTGGGGCGTTTCAATGCAATGGCTGGCGTAGTAGGATTGAGCAAAGTGGTGGAGGTGGGCAGCCAAGGCGACGTTTGCAACGTGGTGACCACTGAGCCATACGTGGCGGAATGCTGGGCGGTCCAGTTTCGATCCAAATATTGCATCAACGCTGTCGCCCCAGCAATGTCTTGGTTGGTGACGATAGACGTCAAGACAAAAGGTAGCCCTGGCACGACCCCGTCGGGACGGTGTAGCGACATGAACACTGGCAGGCCAACCGCTTGCAAGAACGAAAATGCCGACGAAGATGGGACCACCGACGTCGCAGCGACGACAGTGAGCGCTGAAAAGGCAAACTCGGGGGGTTCCAGGCTCAAGTGGGGGGTGCTCAGGGGCGTGAGGTCGCCGCTGGCCGTCACTACGCGCACACTTTGCCGAACGAGTTGGAGCAGGGGGGTCGATAGGGGTCGTTCGATGTGCACGTGCATACAAAACGCAAGTGCTTTTGCATGGTCGTCCTCTGTGGTTTTGGAGGTTCCTACTAGGGGAAGCAAGTGGAATTGCAGCATGTCATGAGTGGTTAGCTGCTTGATGCCCAACATATGCAGAAATCGCGTCGTCTTTGGGGCGAGGGCGTGGATGTACCCTGGGTGCAAAATGTTGAGCTCGTCTGCAAATGGAACGTCGACCACGTCCAGCGGGTAGAAGAGCGTGTCCTCGACGGATTTCAGTGACTTGCCATCATCGTGGCGATGGGATTTCACAGGGAATAAGCCCAATGGACGCAGATGGGCAGCCATCGGGTTCAAGCTCGCCACCAAGTCCATAAACTGGGCATGCCATGTCAACGACCGAGATGACGACGAAGAGGTGGAGGATGCGATGGTTCGAGCCAGTTGAACCATATGAGTCGCGTTCCATGGCAAGATCCCGAGCATTCGCTTCAGCTACAAGTAGTCGACGAGTAAATCATAACACACAAGTCTCAGTCAACGAACATCGACCATGTATTTCTTTGATATATATATATATAATATACAGAACAATATATATATTGTTGTGTTTATTCTAAACTGGAGCGTCATGGAGAATGAATGAATCGGCACAACCAAATATACAGTTGAATCGGCAGATGGATTTAGCCAATCAGATTGCAGGAAACCACCATCAACAAAGTCAAATTAGTACAGTTGACATACAAAATTCAATAGTACTAAGGATCGATGGGTAGATTTGGCGATAATCAGCACAAACGTCAAAATTTGGGGTAAAAGGACAATATATATATATATTGTCAAGTCGATTCGAAATTCGAGTGCTCTCAATCCAATGAGCAGCAGCACCAAAACGGCAGACAATCGATGATCGACCAATCAAAACACAAAACATGAATCAACCAGCCAATCAAATCCACTCTTCGACTAATTCAACATCGAAATAGTGTGTGATTGAAATTAGTGTGATACTGGACGATCTTTACAAAGTCAGTACAAAGAATCATCAATCGATAGATTTTGGCGAAAATCAGCACAAAAGTAGTCCACATATTGGGTAAAAGGATAATATATATAGAGACAGAAATAGCACAAACCTGTGGCGACAAGAGCGGGGCAAAGTCTGGATGGATGAAATGTTTGTGGCAACTTTGCCATAGAAGTGCATCGGAGATTGGGTGGTCCGCCTCGATTTGGTCGAGGACATGACGTGGCGCCACGTACGCCCCCGACGCGGCTTGAATGAGGGGAAGGTCCTGCAGCAGCCGCACGACTGCGTGCCCCATCAGGTGAAATGGCGGCGCAATATCCACTGGGATCATGCGGATCAAGTGCGGAAACTCGGGCAGGAGCTGGACCAGTTGGTCGACAAACAAGCGCGGGAACTGCCGCAGCAGAAACTGATTCCATTCGTTGTCGAGAATAGCTTCGCGGGACGACGGCAGGTCAAAGTTGGCTTGCAAAATGCACTTGAACCCGTACGATTGCACGGGCAAGTAGGCAAACACGGGCTGGTTGGGCAACGAAGACCCGTCAAAGGACAATGGAAACGCCATCTGGACGCGGGTGGACGCGCCTTTGATCGATGCAAACGGCGCCGGTACGTCGACGGACGCCCCGTGGACATGCCATGGCTGCACATCGCCCATGTTGGTGTGCAAGTCGACGCGATCTGGAGACGTCCATGTCTTTCGGTACACCACTTGGGTGTGTAGTACGCGGTTGGTGATGGTAAGCGACATCAATTGGTTCAGAAACAACAGCGTCGATGGCTCCAAGCTGTCGAGCATGGCGCCCGCAGCGATGACTGAAGAAGAAGGCGAGTCGCGCTTTGGGAGGTGGAACCACGTGCCAAGTTGGTCGGTAAACTCGGGATCTGGAGATGGGATCCAATATGGCATAATGTATCGGACATTGTCTACAAGAGAGAGAAATATCTGTTACGTCTGGGGAACAGATACCCTCTTGAAAATCATAAACAACTAGAGAGTTTTAGAATAATATTGTCAAGTCGATTCGAAATTGGAGTGTTCAATCGCATCAGACAATCGATCGACCAATCAGAACATAGAACACGAATCAAGTGGCCAATCAAATTATCCACTCTTCGACCAATTCAACATCGAATTAGTATGTGACTGAAATTAGTGTGACACTACACGAGTTTTACATACAAAAGTCTGTACAAAGAATAATCGATAGAGTTGGCAAAGAATCAGCTCAAAAGTAGTCCAAATTTTGGGTAAAAGGACAATCGAGTGTTTGGCATACATTCATACATACACTCTTGAACTATCATCAAACACTACATAGTGTTCTAGAATAACGTTACTATAATGAATAGCCGCAGTACTACTACAAGATGCGAGAGAACCTTGGAGCACACAAAAACATATATATATATTGTCGATTTGATATACA